AAATTGCCCAAAAAACAGGATTTCGATATCGATTTCTTGGAAATGGGGCAAGTTATCGAATATCGGAAACAAACATCTTTAATTTTTTATAGATAAAGATCTCTTGGAATATTCCTTTCTTTTGGGCTTCCTTCGTAAGCTTCGAAATACTTTTCTGTGTATCTTCCATTATATATATATATAGGAATCCTTAAGATATACAATGACCCAATTATCTATACTTAAAATTCTCAATAGATCTATCACTTTGTAAAGATATAGATCTCTTTGCTTTCTAATTATCCCTAAAAGCGAACACATAAATGAATACATAACACATAAGTGTTGAACTTTATTGCTTCCAAATAATTTGGACAATATTTTGTTAGAGCGTGATACCAAACTGTTTCACAGATGCTTCAATAAATGGTCTCACAGAGTTGACATCCGTGTAGACGCCCGGATATTTGGCAGAGGCGCAGCCTATCCCAAAGGACACAATGCCGCATAGCTTATTCTGGCTCTCATCCTGGTAGACAATCGGACCGCCCGAATCGAATGTGCACGCATCCTTCTTACCCAATACGCCCGCACAAAGCATGCTATCGGTTATGGGCACTGCGTTCGGATAGAAAGAGTATAAATAAAGGATGCTTTAGGGGTCAAGGCTCAAGGCAAAGTAACAGGAAGCTTACTTGCTTGTTTGTAGACTTGCATGCATTCATTCCTCTTGAGGATGGGTACCCTGACGGAGCGGACATTCTGGTGCGGATTGGATGCGTTAGGATCAGATAGATCCCAACCGGATACGGTGAGCTGAAGACCCTCTAATGGTTTCTTGGAGCACAGCCCAATTTTTGAAATATTCGGACCCTTTAATGGCCTCAACAGCAACAGCACGGCTACATCCATGTTCATGGTCTCCTCCTTAAAGACTGCAGGCACTACATAGTCTAGTACCTCCGCCCTTATGCCGTTCTCATTCAGCCTGGAAATGCCGCCCGAGACCGTCCACAGATACTTCTTGGTACGACCCAAAAAGCAATGAGCTGCCGATACAACAATTCGCTCATCGATCAAAGTACCACCGCAAACGAATTCGTCCTGATAACGTAGTGCCACAAGGTAGCCGCCCAGCTTATCAATCGTTGTGGCTTCGCCACCAACCACACGGCTTTGCGCTGCGGGCGGCAGCACAATCTTGTCCAGACCGGGAAATTCTTCGGCTTCATCGTTGCTCTTGGGCTTCCGCATCGGATTCTGACCCAAGCCCAGCTGTAGCAGCGCGAGAAGCACTAGTAGCACCTGCATTGCAAAAATCGTACTAACTGTTTCGAATGGCATCGATCACACATATAGCTCCTGGCGTTATATAAGCCCGCTAAAGACGCCTAACTGAACGATTCGACACAGTTCTGCCATTACGTAGGAGCTCTGCAATTTTATGGGAGAGCGAGAAAGTCAAGTGGAAAGTTTTTCTTCAAATTGGTTTTAATTGATGTCAATTGGAGAAGCGAATGCATTTTTATCGAATGTACATGGCAGGATCTGAGCATCATCTGAGCTTCAATCTGAGCTGGTCGTCCCCTAGGAGAAACTTAAGGGTCGGACCTCGGTGAATAGTGTGCGTTTGTAGTAGATCAATTTGGGATCACGATTTCGCACATCTGTTGCCTGGGAATACATTGAGTTAATCAGCTGATGCACATCCGAGTAGACCTAGGAGAGCGTAGGAATTAAAACATATAAAGCACGAAAAAGAACCGACCTTCGACCAGCCGAGGGTTGAATACCCTTACATTGATCTGACAATATATTCGTTTACTATAAGTCTAGGTCGACCCCGATTATGGGGCCGGAGCAGTCACAAAATGTCTCTCCGCAAGGGTATTAATTGTAATCCTATATATGTAATCTATAATATCTTTGGGTCTAGGGGCTTATCCTGCGTAGCTCCCGATCGTCGGATATGGAATCCTTGATTTCCAAATACTTGACTGGCCTAGGCCTCCCTGGTTCTCAAGTGAACTTATGAGATTAAAAAATGCGAAGTCGAGGTGTTATAAAAAGATTAAGATATCGGGAAATCACTCCGATTTCTCCCGCTATGCAGTTGCCCGATAAAATTTTTCTACTCAAAATTTCATCTGCTATAAGAATTACCTTCGCCGTTGTCGCCTCCAATTTTCTCAAATTCCATAGCAATTTTTTAACTTTGTCAATTCTAAAGTTAAGTTTGCAGAAGAGAGCGCGAATACTGATCCAGGCATAGCCGATCTGTTCGCAAACTGTTTTCAAACTACCTACTCCTCCTCTAGGTATAATAAAAATCAGCCTTATCCTTATCAGTTACAGAGGTCAAACTGCATCTTAAATCCCATTAGTACGGAAAGTGCGCTTCTCAGCGACCTTAACACTATCAAGCTGGTTTTCTCACCGGGCCCTGATGGTGTTCCTGCTTGTGTGCTCAGTTACTGTGCTGCAGCATTATGTAAACCTGTGTTAAAACTTTTTGAATTGTCTGTAAACACTTCCTCTCTTCCGACCATTTGGAAGGAATCATACATTATCCCTCTCCATAGGAAAGGGAGTAAGTCAGATGTCGAAAACTATAGAGGTGTTTCCAAATTATCCGCTATACCTAAAGCTTTTGACAGAATAATAACATCTCAAGTGCAACATGGGCTCGTGAAGCGCAGATCTACAACCACTAACCTTCTTGAGTTTAATTCGCTTGTAATTGATGGGTTTAAGAAAAGAATACAGACTGACGTCATCTACACGGATTTTAATAAGGCTTTCGACTATGTCAATCACTCCTTGCTGCTTCATAAATTATGACTTCTCGGCTTCCCAGTCAATCTCTTGAACTAGATTTCAGAGTATGTATGCTGACGATGTGAAGTTATGCCTTGCATATAAAGATATGGCATCATGTTATTTCTAACAAGCTGACATTGATGCGTTTCAGGCTTGGTGTCTAGCCAATCTCTTAAACTTAAATTGTTCCAAATGTAAGGTAATGATTTTCTATCCTCCTCAACTGGTTTCTTACATCCTTGATAGCTTACCGCTCGAGCGTGTTAACAGTACTTCTAATCAAGTTAATGATCTAGGTGTCATCCTTGATTATAAACTTAAATTCCACTCTCATGCTAAGACCGTGGTCAATAAGGCCAGAATTGTTTTCGGTTTCATCAAGCGATGGTCGAAGGAGTTTGACGATCCGTAAACGACAAAAACCCTTTATATATCTCAGGTTCGACCCATACTTGAATATGCCTCGCGTATCTGGTCATCACAGCACTCTATACATCAAGACAGAATTGAATCCGTTCAAAAACAATTTTTGTTGGTTGCCCTTCGTGGTTTTAATTGGGATCCTCGTGTGCGGTTAACGTCATACTCCAGCAGACTTCTGATGATTAACCTTCGTTCCTTAACTAATCGTAGAACATGCTGGGTGTAATATTTATCCATAAATTAATTACTGGTGAAATGGACTCTTCTGTGTTGACTAGCCAATTAAACTTATCTATCCCTACTAGACTAACACGTAATTTTACACCCTTATTGATTCAATTTTGCTCAACTAATTATGCGATGCATGAACCGTTCAGGGTGCTCTGTGATGACTATAACAAGCATTACAGAGTATTCTGCTCGGAGTTTTCTCTTTCTCGTATAAAGTCTTCTATTCTAAACTATTTAGCTAGTAGATAGTCTTATTTTTATTTGTAATTGTAGTTGTCCATTCAGTGCCGCTCAACTGAATAGGTTTGAAAAATATTTTTTCTATTTTTTCTTCTCTCTGTGTTCCTATGGCATTTTTTCCTTCTTTCTTTTTTGTTTTGAACATTCATTTGTTTACTCATAATATGACAAAAAAATTTAACGGGTTCTATGCAACGGTAAATCAGAATTTTGCTTTCATCGTGAAATTCGCTAAATGTGTGGTCTATTTTTGGCTCATCTGATTAGGTTTGACAACTTTGACTTTACTTTTTGATTGACTGCGTGATTGAAAACATATAATTTCTTTGGTCTACTTAAATTTAAAGTAATTGCTACCATTTTTTTTTAATATGGGTCGGGGAAAATCTTTAACCGATTTTGAAAAAGGTCAAATTAAAGGCTATATTGAATCTGGCCTAAAACATAATGAAATAGCAAAGAAGATTGGTCGAAGCCAAAAACGTGGTAAGCAATTTTCTTCGTAATGAAGCCGATTACGGGAAAAAAATGAAAGGAGGAAAAAAATATGCTACAACGGCATCAGAGAGACGACTAATCCTTCGGACTGCTTCGAATTCCCACCTCTCTGCCAGTAAAATCAGGGATGAATGCGGTGTAAATGCTAGTTTGGCAACGGTAAAACGAGTTATTCGGAGTGCTAAACACTTAAAGAGATTAAAAATAAAAAAAAACCTCCTCTCAGGATCCTCAGGATCACATGACATGGAACAAGGAGTGGAAGGCTGTGGTCTTCTCCGACGAAAAAAAGTTCAATCTCGACGGACCGGATGGCTACAACTATTATTTTCACGAAATGCGAAAAGAGGAATGCTTTTTGAGTCGTCATCACTCCTGTACAGGAGGCGTAATGGTTTGGGGAGCCATATCGTTTTATGGAACTTGCGAGCTGCAGTTTGTTTCCTCAAAGATTAATACAAATGTCTACAAGACTGTGCTCCAAAAGGCTTTTCCCCAGTTTTCCGAAATTTTTGAACCTATTCAATGGACGTACCAACAAGACAACGCCCCATATTATTTACCGAAATTGCCCAAAAAACAGGATTTCGATATCGATTTTTATCGATTACTTGGAAATGGGGCAAGTTATCGAATATCGGAAACAAACTCGATCTGCGCGGGGACTAGGAGGACCTACAGCTAAAATTTCAAGGTTCTGAGATCCTTGCGTTTATACATACGGACAGACGGACGAACGGACGGACGGACCGACAGACGGACATGGCTAGATCGTCTCGGCTGTTGATGCTAATCAAGAATATATATGCTTTATGGTGTCGGAGATGCTTCCTTCTGCCTGTTACATACATTTGCACAAATACATTATACCCTTCTTACCCATTTTTAATGGGTACAGGGTATAAAAACATATTAATGCTGCATTTTATTGCTTCCAAATGATTTGGACAATATTTTGTTAGAGCTTGATACCAAACTGTTTTACAGAGCTTTCAATAAATGATCTCACATAGTTGACATCCGTGTAGACGCCCGGATATTTGGCAGAGGCGCAGCCTATCCCAAAGGACACAATGCCGCATAGCTCTTTCTGGTTCTCATCCTGGTAGACAATCGGACCGCCCGAATCGAATGTGCACGCATCCTTGTGACCCAATACGCCCGCACAGAGCATGCTATAGGTTATGGTCACTGTGTTCGGATAGAAAGAGTATAAATAAAGGATGCTTTAGGTGTCAAGACTCACTTGCTTACTTGCTCTTCTGTAGGCTTGCTTGCATTGATTAATGTTGATGATGGGTACCTTGACGGAGCGGACATTCTGGTGTGGACTAGATGCGTAAGGATCAGATAGACCCCAACCGGATACGGTTAGCTCCATACCCTCAAGTTGTTTTTTGGAGCACAGCCCAATTTTTGAAATATTCGGACCCTTTAAAGGCCTCAACAGCAACAGCACGGCTACATCCATGTGCATGGTGTTCTCGCTAAAGACTGCAGGCACCAAATAGTCTAGTAACTCCCCCTTTATGCCTTTCTCATTCAGCCTGGAGATGCCGCCCGTGATCGACCACAGATACTTCTTGGAACGACCCAAAAAGCAATGACCTGCCGATACAACAATACGCTCAGCGATTAAAGAACCACCGCAAACGAATTCGCCCTGATAACGTAGTGCCACAAGGTAGCCGCCCAGCTTATCAATCGTTGTGGCTTCGCCACCAACCACACGGCTTTGCGCTGCGGGCGGCAGCACAATCTTGTCCAGACCGGGAAATTCTTCGGCTTCATCGTTGCTCTTGGGCTTCCGCATCGGATTCTGACCCAAGCCCAGCTGTAGCAGCGCGAGAAGCACTAGTAGCACCTGCATTGCAAAAATCGTACTAACTGTTTCGAATGGCATAGATCACAGATATGGCTCCTGGCGTTATATAAGCCCTAAAGACCCCTAACTGAACGATTCGACACAGTTCTGTCATTACGTAGAAGCTCTGCAATGTTATGGGAGAGCGAGAAAGTCAAGTGGAAAGTTTTTCTTCAAATTGGTTTTAATTGATGTCAATTGGAGAAGCGAATGCATTTTTATCGAATGTACATGGCAGGATCTGAGCATCATCTGAGCTTCAATCTGAGCTGGTCGTCCCCTAGGAGAAACTTAAGGGTCGGACCTCGGTGAATAGTGTGCGTATGTAGTAGATCAATTTGGGATCACGATTTCGCACATCTGTTGCCTGGGGATACATTGAGTTAATCAGCTGATGCACATCCGAGTAGACCTAGGAGAGCGTAGGAATTAAAACATATTAAGTACGAGAAAGAACTGATTCCTTCGACCAGCCGAAGGTTGAATACCCTTGCATTGATCTGGCAATATATTCGTTTACTATAAGTCTAGGTCGACCCTGATTATGGGGCCGGAGCAGTCACAAAATGTCTCTCTGCAAGGGTATTAATTGTAATCCGTTAATCTTACGCCAATGTTGCGCCAGGTGAGCTGATAGTCGAGCTTGATTGTATCCAAATTATCCGAGCACGGTTCAGAGACTTCCACAAATGTTGAATTATCTGGCGTTACCCGCACGGTGACATCCGCACCTTCATTTAAGTCCTTCGGATTCCGCAGACAGAGCACAATATTGCGCCGTGTGGCCAAACGATTCCAATCGCAGCGATAGAACTTTATCAGCTTGCAGTGGATGGCAAATGCATCGTAGACATGCAACTCGGTCGCCAGATGCTTCTCCGAGAAGTAACCATTCTCAATATAATAGCAGGCATCGTGCTCCGCAAATATATTGATGTTCTTCTCGCAGAAGCGCTACAGACCAGAATCCCAAATTAGATAGAGCTCTATAATATCTTTGGGTCCAGGGGCTTACCCTGCGTAGCTCCCGATAGTCGGATATGGGTTCCGTGATTTCCAAATACTTGACTGGCCTAGCCGTATACTCGGTGGTTAGTTTCGTCACATAGCCCCGTATGCCGACATTAGTTATATACAGATACACGCGTACATGGAATGTGTCCAATTTAAAGATGATCTCGTTGTTGCTAGGGGAAGGACAGAAAGGTGGTCAACCTGTGATCTAATCGAGAGAATCCGAATGGGAGATACCCTCTAGACAGGCTCTATAAAAATCGTAGCTGGATAGAACATGACGAATTTGATGGATTCCATGGAATCTAAGCAAGTTATGGTCCTTCGAAGTTTGAGGTCTCCCGTTCTTATGGGAGCTGAGATCGACGCGTTTATACAAAGATACGGACAGACAAGCAGGCGGACATGGCTATATGGACTTGGCTATTGATACTGACCAATAATATATATACTTCTACGTTCAGTTGCACAAAATCCATATACCCTTTAAACCCTTTTCAATCCTTCTATATTCAGTTGCACAAAACCTTTATACCCTTTTATTCCTTTCCCTTTCAATGGGTTCAGGTTATAAAAAGAGCCTACTTACTCCTCTTCGTTATACTGCAAGGTCCAATCGCGAAAGGGAAACTGCTCGTAGCGCTTGTAGGCAAAACCAAAAATGCCCAATCGATCTGTCTGGATCTTGATCGTAAAATTCTCTGGCTCGAATACGGTGCGATTTATATACTTGGTTGTCCAGTGCTTAACTTTGGGTAGCTCCTTTAGCGATTCCTTATCGTAGTCATATGATTCGATATTCGATTTTCTCATGTTCGGACGGAAGGCAACGATGCCTGAGTTTATGCTGACTGTCTCGCTATCGATATCCGGAGCCATGGCGGAGGTTCGGCCGTGAGATTGGCGTGCGGACTTTGACGGTGTAATTATTTTGCTACTACCGACCATGGAGACGTGAACTGTGGATTTGGTGCGACCAGTTTGCACGGTCTCAGGCATTTCAATTTCCTGGCGCCGGGCTTGAGGAAGGCCTTTTACGTTAAAATTGGGCTGCTCCATGAGTTTCTTTGGTTGTTTCTTGTACTTATCTTGGATATCCTGTAGAGTGTTGATGACGCCATAGATGGTTAGCTTCTCGGGGTCATCCGCTTTAACAACATCGCTTATTTGATCGACTTTGACAAACTTGATTTTGATCCCGCCTTCAAGTTCTGACGACGACTCACTCGAAGAGGATTCTTCAAGCATCAATCGCTCGCGCCAGTCAAAAACGGGGTAAAGTCTTTCGGGTGCTTCCTGCTTCTCAAAATTAAAGTACTCCGGCTTCTCTTCTTCGTCGTGCTTTGTTGTGTCCGTAACGTGTCGCCGTATTAGAATGCAGCCGCGCGCAGCTGCTCTTTCGGCCAGTTCTTCGGTTCGATCCGATCGAAACTCCGTGGGAAACTTGAAGGAGGACAAAATCCGAGGCAGGCAATGCCGCTGCAGATCGCGTGCTTGCATATTGGTTAGCGGCCTGCCTGTTACCGGAAAGTTTCGAAAATGTACGCCGGGCAGCATTGAGGACCGCAGGGAGCTCAGACGTAGCATGCTAAGGATAGAGCGACGATATATATTCTTTGGGTTTGGGTTCCTTGGTATAATGTTCGACTGCCTGGGTCTCGACAAAATATTTATGAGATCCACTGATCTTCTAACAGTCTTCCTACTTATATTCCTGCCTTTCTCCTTGCCCTCAGCAGCTGCTGCCTTCCCAATCGGGATTCTAGGGCTATTTTTTTTTATCGATTTCTTTCTCTTAATTCGATGCTCTTCAAGGTCAACTGTTATCAGGTGCTCCGTCTCATCCTCCTCGATCTCCTCTTCGATGAACTGGCAGGCAAGCGGCTCGCCAAATCTGCACAAATGCTCTGGCAGCTTAAAGGTCATACAGAAATAGGGTATCTCGTCCGCTTTCAGCTGAAATTGCCCAAGTTCGGGATCCTCCAGGGCCTGGGCAAAGTTCAGACGAATTTTATGCGACGATGTTGAGGTGTACCGCACGGAATGGGTACGCGACCCTGTCATATAATTGCCCTCCTCACCATCCTCTCCCACATCCGCACGGACCTCCTCCAAGGTACGCAGAATGCGTCCATCTTCATGCAGGGTTACATTGAACTTTTGAAAGTCCGTGTGCTTGGGCTTCTGCACAAAGATCAGCGAATAGAGTCCACCCAGTATACTGTAACGTCGCAAATTGACCTGTTAAGGAGACAAATCAATTATCTCGATTCGCTACACGAATCAGAACTGTCTGGACTCTACACAAATCAGATCTCTTTAGTCTCATTACCTCGTATGGCTTCAGGTGCATGTTCGCTGGATTTAGGAACTCGTCGAGAAACTCCTCGAATTCGCGCTGTTCCTGCTCCAGAAATGCGTTATGCGGATCGGGAAACATGCCCTGCGGAAGTTGTTCCGGCTCCTTTAATGCCTTCATTTTAGGCGATGGTCGATTAGACGACTTCTTGTTTATGTTTTTAGTTTTATCAGTTTCTTTCGTCTTGGATGCGGCTGCCTTTATCTCCATATCTCTGAGCGCGTAAAAGATGATTTCAAAAAGAGTACTTTACAATTGACATTTGCTCAGATTGACTCACCTCTGATACTCCTCATACTCGATTAGCTTCGTTTCCACTTGGGTTATAATGTTTTCCATAATATTCACCTGCATCAGCCACTCGTTGATCAGGCAATCCTCAATGTCCATCATGCCACCGTTAAAATTATCTGTCGGCCTATCGATCACCTGTTCATAGCTCTTGGCGCCCTCCGAGTAAGGATCGAAGAAGGTGTGTATGCAGCGCAGGGTCAGATTGTCGCCAAGCACACTAATCGGTATTTGTATTTTGATGCCCACACAGTTTAGATCGGCCAGCATTAGGGGTAGCCTATGAATGCAAACGTCAATTTAAATCCAGCCCAACTTAATAAAACTCTATGCTCAGCTTACTCCAAATACTGGAAGCGAATCGGCACATCGCTCAGCCACCACAGTTGAAAGTTGTAATTGGCGCTCTCGTAGCAATAGGTTTCCGTTACCCCATCAAATGCGCTGAGAATAGTGAAAAAATCAACTGAAACTATAAACTTGCATATATTTGCGCTTACGTTCGGTAGGAGCTCGGCGCACAGACGATGCGATAGGTCAGTTTGTCGAAGATCACGTCGATTTCCTCGTTCAGTTCACTACGCAGCTACAAAGGATATATTATGAAAAAATAACGAATTTCCAACTATAATAAGATATATTTTATAGTTAACTATACTATATAGCTATCTTTCGAAAGATCGGTAGATAGTGTGACGATATGAATTTTCACATTTTTAACCCATCTTTCCGTTGGACGCTATATATTATTCAAGAGCTCCCATAGGATGGGTTAAGGAAAATCTTTTGATATCAGACTAGGAAAAATGTATAGCTTTCAAGGGAAAGGTCAATCGGAAGCAGACTTTATGTAAATGGCTATCGGAAAGATCGTGATCGTGATCGTAAGGATATTTAATCTTCGGCAGACGGAAGCTCACTCTAAACCTTTCCTTGGATTCTATTCCAACTCCTATTCCCACTTCTCAGACACTCACTGATGTTATTTCCATGGCCCGATCAGCGGGCAGATCGTCCATGTCATAGTCGCTGGCCAGCAACAGCTCGATGCGATCGAGAGTTGTGAGAATGCGCTGCACATAGTTATCGTAAATCTGACCAATGTTGGGACGAAGGTTCTGTTCGAGCGTTTTGCGCGTCAGATCGGTGCGGAATATGTCCTGACTGAGGACGCTTTTCTCGTCGACGGACAGAGCCCAATTGACCACAGACTCAACATCCTTGGTCTCAAAGTGCCGCATCTCGGCAATCATGCAGCGTATCTCCGGCGGATACTGCACCCGGGGCAGGCCATCGCAGTCCATATAACGATTCCAATGTGTCGCATGGCTCTGCTCCACCAGCAGCTCCTTATAGTCCGATATGGACTCTGCAAACAGAACAGAATTTATTATACAAAATTTCAGAATCGATTCGTCTCGATGCGATTCTCTGCTAACCAGCTATGAAGCCCAGGCATATTCTGATATCCTGGAGCCGTTGCTGGTGACGAAGCTCGCGCGTTTTCCATTCCTCCTCGGAGATCAGCTGCATACGATTGGTATCGTTGGTAGCTTTGCCCGGTTTAGCTGGTTTTTTAACCGTTTTGGAATTTGGCTTTTTTTTATCCATTTTATCTTCTTTTCTTATTTTTTTTTTTTTTTTATATTATCATCGATGTGTTTTTTTTACATTTTTTTAGATCGTTTGTCTATTTTATTTATTTATTTTTTGTTTTTTTCTTTACTTTTTTTTGTGTGTGTGTATGTGTGTGTATATGTGTGCGCGTGTGTGTATGTTGTGTTTTTGAGGCTATCGATTTAATTTAAAAATCTGACATATTTCTCCTAGAAATTTTAATTCGTATAAATATACAGAAATCTACAAATAATTTTTACGAAAAACTCATTATATGAAGTTCGTTGAGCATCCGCTTGACCTGAAAGAGCAACATCGCATCTTTGTTTCTGACATCCGTGGCATGCGGATTCATCGAACTGATTGCCTGATGCAGATCCGTATAGTGCTATACATATGTATATATATTTGATGGTTACTAAGCGATTATATATGATCACGCCCCAATCCCAACTTACGCTCATGTTACGCCACGTGTTCTTAAAGTCCAGCTTTATAACGTTCAGATCATCTGAGCAGAGCTCCATTACCTCGACAAAGGTCACATTATCGGGTGTTATGCGCACCGTGACCTCGGTATAGTCGGTATTATCCTTGGCATTCTTCATGCCCATCAAAATATTGCGACGGGAGGCCAAGCGATTCCACCCGGAACGATAGAACTTCATCAGCTTACAGTGCAGCGCCATGGCATCATAGGTGTGATCCTCCATGGCCATATGCTTCACCGAAAAGTAACCATTGTCTATGTAAAAGCAGGCATCATTTTCCGCAAAGATGTTGATGCTCTTCTCATAGAAACGCTGTGATACGCTTATCGATAAATATCGAAATGGCAATCGATAAGATTTGAATGAATGCTTACCCGGCGCAGCTCACGAAAATCGGAGATCGGTTTTGGTATATCCAAATACTTAACCGGATGAGCCACATAAGTTTTGCTTATATCTGTCACATAGCCTCTGACACCTTGAGCCGTAATATAGAGTATGACACGTGCGTGAAACGTATCCACACTCAGTATAATTTCCTCATTACTAGAGCAAAGAGAGGCGAGGAAAAAGAATCAGTTAGAGGTATTTTTACGAGCGTGACGGACTAAAAGTTATAGGCATTTAGACCCATGCTATGCAAAATTGATCGAGGTTTAATATACTTTTTTCGGTATATACGAAAATTTCAGACTGCATCTCACATATTTTTTGTTGGGGTTAGGTATCCATAAGGTGAATTAGTCTATCAGTCTATACAAAACGAAAACGATTATTCAACTTTTCCGTATTTTCCGTCCGAGAACCTATGCTCAAAAACCTCTAGCTCTTAGGTAACATATAAACAAAGTGACAGACGGATCATCAGATACATTCCTTGGGTCATATAATAGAATAGTATAGAAAGAGTGGCACTTACTTCTCCTCATTGGAGGGACAGACGGAAATGTCTAAATCGAAACGACTCGGAGGTCCTGATCAGATACATTCCTTGGGTCTGTTACGCATATATAGGAATATTTACTTACTTCTCCTCATTGGGTTGCATGCTCCAGTTGCGGAAGGGGAAGTGCTCGTAGCGCTTGTAGGCAAGCCCAAAGATGCCCAATCGATCGGTTTTGATGTGCATGGTGCGTGCCTGTCTATCGAATTTGGTGGCCATGATGTGCCTGGTGGTCCAGCGTGTAACCCTCTCTTTGGGCCTTTCCGCCTTCACCTCTTCCTCCTGGGGCGTAGGGATCTCCGGCGTATCGGTGTCCTGCGTGTCCGTTGCTCCATCGGTTAGATTAAGGCGGCTCGAGTTGCGATAGCCGCTCATCTGTGAGCTGGACGCGGGCAGCGGACTATGGCTGCCTCGCAGCGAGGAATGCCTGCTCCCACTTCGTATCGAGGACTTAAACTTGGGCAGGACCGATCCGGCCCGTGCGTCTGGGCTGGGCACAACTGTCTTCTTTGGTGGCGGCTTTTTCATATTAAAATCCGACTGATTCATAATGTCACGATGTCTGGCAATGTACCTGTTCGTGATGTTATCAAAGGTGTCGATCAGTCCGTAAATGGACTTCTTTTCGAACACCTGCTGTATGTGCTCCTCATCGTATTTGATATGCTCGATATCATGGAAGACGGGAAAGACGCGTTCGGGTGCCTGCTGTACCTCATAATCGAAATCCAAATCGCCAACAACAAAATTATCCTCAGCATCGATACTGCGTCGACGGATCAGCATATTTCTGGTCTTCGGTCGCTGATCGAACAGCTGTTCCAGCTCCTCCTTGACCTCTAGCGGAAACTTGAACGATGAGATGATCCGCGGCACACAATATCGTTCCAATTGTCGCACCTTCAGATGATCCAATTGCTGCACCAAATGAAAGTTTCGCAGTGGCATCAAATTCTCACCGGGCATCAGTTTCCGGCTCGTGCGGAGCAGGGATATCAACGTGGGACGAAACACATTTATCGATGTTTCGCGACGTTCGATTTGCGTAAACTGTAACTCGTGCCGATGGAGTTCGGTGTGCCTAGCCGAACCGAACTTTGATTTCTTCTTCTTCAAAACCGATTCTTTTGGCTCTTCGGTCAACGATGTTTCCGATACAATCTCCTCTATGCTCGATATATACTGACAGACTATCGGCTCACCCCATAGGCACAGCTCGCGCGGCATATGAATGGTCACAAAGAAATAGGGCAATTCGTCGTCCTCGAGCATAATGCTTTTACGATTATTCTCATCCATATTCAAGCGTAAACGCGACTGACGTCCCGAAACCCGGGAAGTCCGCGAGCCCAGTCGGCCATCGTCCCCCTGAGGGCCACGCAAATCGGCCACAATATCATCCATGATGTGCAGCACACGCCCATCGTCGTGCAATATTATGTTGAACTTCTGGTAATGCGTATTCATCGGACGGCGAATAAACATTATCGAATATAGGCCGCCCAGCATGATGTGTTGTCTCAGATTGATCTGAATGTGGATTATCGTAAAATGAAAAGAAATCATTTTTGAGAAACTCTCAGACCTCAATATTCAGCGAATGTTCCGATGGGTGCGTTTTTGAATGGAGTAGTTTTGTGTGAATAGGATTTGTTTTTGTGTAATCGAGTATAACGAAGGTTTTCAGACAAGATCTCAATTCCTAAAAGAGCTATATGGAAAATTCACCCGACATTAATCTCTTTTTTGTTTTTTAAATGGAGACAAACGGGTGTCCCTATCAGGAATATATATACTAAATAGACAACTGTTCACAGCAACTCTTCTCACCTCGTCCAAGCCTAGCTTTAGGTGTCTGGGATTGTAAATCTCATCGAGCAGATCGACATACTGCTGCTGTTCGCGCTCCAGGAATGTTTTTTGGGCATCTGGTAGCATGCCGGGCGGCACCAGGAGCGCCTCCTTGGGCGCCTTGGGTATAACTATTTTCGGGCCCTTGCCCTCAGTGTTGCCCTTCTCCTTGTTGGCCTTCTCCGTTTTCTCCGCAATGATGCGCATAATCTCCTCATAGGCTTCGCGTTTCTCCATCAAACTATCCAACATCTCGTTTTGTATATCCAGCTGCATATACCACTCGTTGGCCAAACAATCCTCGATATCCAGAATGCCGGCATTGACATCCACATTGCCCTCCGGTATAATAGGATCGAAGCTCTTTGCGTACTGCGAATAGTTGTCAAAGTTCGTGTGGATGCAGCGCAAGGTGAGGCAATCGTGCAGCACGCTCAGGGGCATCTGGACACTGACGCCCACAACATTCATTTTGGCGACCATCAGCGGGGCGCTACGGACTAGAAATGAAGCCATCAAATAGAGTTGATAGAGTTTTGGACTTACAGCAATTCTTCGAAGCGAACGGGCACATTGCGCAGCGCCCAAAGATCTATGGCATACTTGGGGCACGCATGAGACCAGGTGGCCACAAGGTCGTCATCTGAGCTGCGAAATAAGATTTAAGCCCGAAATAATTTGGAGTATTTTGGGGTAGACTAGGAGATACTCTACAAATAGATCAGAGCTAAGATACATTCCAAAACGTACAAATTTTCTTAAACTGAGTAAACCCTCTTTTCAAATCGAATATATTTTGAAATAATGCAAGTAAAGGAAATAGGAGTCTTAAGCAGACGGACGGACTGCATATTTACGTATATTATACCCGTATTTATCATGGTTACAGGGTATTAAAAGATACACCTACTTTGTGTACAAATATTCTTAATCTGAGTAAACCCTCTTTTCAAACCTGATAGCTTTTGAAATAAGGGAAGTAAAGGGAATATTTATTTCAGTTTTCAAGACGGACGGACCTGGCTACATATTTGCGTACATTATACCCGTATTTATCAATGGTTACAGGGTATTAAAAGATACACCTACTTCATGTAGACGCCATCCATGCGTATTATGCGATAGGTTAGGCGATCGAAAACTTCATCGATTTCATGCTCGATTTCACGGCGCACCTAAAGAAATAAAAACGATAAGTTATCGATTTTTTTCTCGATTATATATCGATCAGCAGTTCGCACGTACATCCATGATCTCCAATTGACGGTCAAAATCCACACGGTCCATTTCGGCGGCTGTATCGAGCATACAATCGATCTTGAACAGAGTATTCAAATACAAGAATATATCGGCCTCATAGATATCGCCGATATTTTCCTTTAGGTTCTCTTTGATCGTGCGCCGTGTGCGATCCGTGCGGAAGATGTCCTGGGTCAGCACCGTGCGCTCATCCACGGACAGCGTCCAGTCCACGGTGTGATCCGTATTGAACTGTTGATAGAAACGCTGCTTGGCCAGAAACGTGCGCATCTCTGGCGGCAAATAGGGGCGTGGCAGGCCATCACAGCGCAAATGATGATCCCAATGCTCGAGCTCTCGGCGCTCCTCCTCCAGGCGCGCGAACTCCGACGTGGAATCTTAAATCGATAAGTTATATCGATCCGTTCCGATGCCCGTTTCGGCCGCTTACCCTTGATGAAGTTACAGCTTACGCTGACGTCCTGCATACGCTGCTGATACTTTTTCTCCCGTTCCTGCATCTCATGGACGCTAATCAGACCGGTGCCCGGATTCTCCACCTTTGGCTTGCCCATCGTGTCTGTGTGTCGTTTTTTTTTTGTTTTGACAATACAGTGTGCTCAAGATTTGAAGTTTCTTCTGTGTAGTTGGAATATCATGACAGTAAACTCATGATCAGGTTTCCTATACATGATTTGCCAGCTGCTCGAACCATTTGTCAGGCCCAAACTTCTCGCCCTCCCTCGCGGCTAAATTGCATTTCGCATCGAGAGACCTTAATCGAAAACTCAACTCCAGACGCGTGTCTTTGTCTCCTGCTCCGGCCATAACTCAGGCGGCGCATGTGGGTGCGGTTGGTCAGGCCAAACCAAATCCCGCCCCCCCTCTGTCTCCTCTATTTCCACTCGCCTGCTGTCTTTGGGTATTTATTTGGGCTCCGTGCCAGCAAACTTGCGACTTATTTATGCCTCTTGTGCAATTTTCTATTGCAAATCCAAGTGGAGAAAGTGTAGCCGGGCGCTGACTATAAAATGAAAACCAACAGGATAAAGGCAGCTAAAACCCGCGTGGCGAAATAATAAATACTCTTGCAGCTAAGTAAATAAAACGCTTAGCTAATACTTAATGGAAACTTGCGCTGTCGAATTTAAACTAATCCTTAAACTTAACAAATTTAAAGCTCCTTTTAATGTGTTAATTAGTAAACGGATTGGAGAAGAATCTTCTAAAGAGAAAGACGGCAAATAATTCGAGAGAGTCTAGTATATTGTAATATGAAATCATATCTGAAAGTCTAAGCAAATGGTTGGTGGTGCGGTTTAAGGTTTGAACCCGTGCCCCGCCTTAAGCTTACATGATTTTTCCCCGCCAATAAACGCAGGCTTCGGCTCCAGCCTTGGTACATCACATTATATATAAAATTCGGCAAAATTTGAAATTTATATCTATGAATAAATGATTTTAATTTCGCAAACATCTTCACTTACGCGTTGCACATTTCATGACATAATTAAAATGCCCTCTGCAAGAGTGTGTAGCTAAGGCAAAAAAAAAGCAAGCTGCAAATGTTTAGACAATGCCTCGTTCCCAATAAATTGATTAAATTTTATGTCGCATTGTTAACCGAGCTATTTACATACGCTTACACGACTCGGAGTTCATGTCAAAGCAGCTACGTCTGATCGATTAAATTGATGAATGAATTTCAGACCAAGACCAAGTCGGAGACCAAGACCAAGACGATGACGATGACGACTCCTACACAGAGCCACAGAGTCTGCATTCCAATTGTCTATATCGCATCTGTAGGCCTTGCTCCCATCTCTCTCTATCTCTCTCTACCCCTCCACTCCCTCTCCCTCTCTCCCTCTCGCTCTCTGACTTTATCTGTGCGCCATGCTGTGCTTACAATTCTCTTGAAATTTATTTGTTGCCAGTTGTCTTTTAAATAAATTTCTTGTCAAACGTTCACATTCAGGTCCATGTACATGTCCACATCGACGTCCTCTTTCGTTAAAATACCCTGTACTCAATGAATGTGGGTTAAAAGGGGTATTATGATTGTGTGCAAAATATATGTGACGGGCAAATAAAAGACAACTCTGTCTATCTCAGAGAGTAGAAGAGCTAGAGATATTAAAAAAACAAATCAATTAATTTCTTGGTTAAGTCTTTCCATTTTCTAAAAGTCTTTAAGCATAAAACGAATTTATTTATTTCGCGTTGGGACTAATTGATACTTTGAATAATTGGGAAGACACTCGTTTTAATAAATAAATAAATAAATAAATAATTAAATAATTAAATAATTAAATAATTAAATAATTAAATAATTAAATAATTAAATAATTAAATAATTAAATAATTAAATAATTAAATAATTAAATAATTAAATAATTAAATAATTAAATAATTAAATAATTAAATTATTAAATAATTAAATAATTAAATAATTAAATAATTAAATAATTAAATAATTAAATAATTAAATCATTAAATAAATAAATAAATAAATAAATAATTAAATAAATAAATAAATAAAGAATTAAATAAATAAATAAATAAGTAAATAAATAATTCTCTTAGATTATTAACAAAAGATATTTGGCATTTAAATATACTTGTCTTTATTAAGCCCTGAAAAATCTAGCAACAATTCAACAACAAAGCACAGCAGTTATTTGAGCATCTGTTTACCATGCTTTATTGCTCGAGCTTTTTACAGGGTATCTGCTACAGCATAGTAAACTCTTGACTGCTGTCATTGTTGTTGGTCGTAACATTCATCAGTTGTTTAGGCTCTGGACTGCGTCTGTAATAAGTCACTTGGCCTGACAAAGACAAAACATTTGAAATAATTTAATGAACTTGACGGACAATTTTGGGGCCCATTTGTTGCAAATGCCTCAGCTTCTATATATATATATATGTATTTTTTTTTTGCCAGCTGTAATTGAAAATGTGCGCCAAATAGTTTTGACACCTACTGGCAGCCAAATCAATTGATCAATGGGTTCAAAATAGTTGCGCTAATCCGCATAACAAGCAGCCAAGTAGTTGAGACTTAATGACGAGCAAATCATTTTGAGCTGGCCATGCAATCATTCAATTATAATCTGCCCCATGTTGCAGCCTGCCCCAAGTTGCCTGCCCCAAGTTGCCTGATAGCTGCTGCCTGCTGCCTGATCCAATCCTCAGCAATTTCTTGTTGCCAGCAATTGGATGACTAGATGACTGAATGACTGGATGACTTTACAAAGAGCCACCTCACGTACTTGACGCTGGATTGCGCTCCCCCTCTGTCTGTGTCTCCGTTTGCCATGTGGCATGCAACCTAACGATGTCGATGCAGCTCGTTGCATCGATTTGGAGCTGCAATTTGGTTCGCTGCAAAGCCAAAATTGCTGGCGAAAATAATTGACAACTGTATAAAAGAAGTTTTGCCATTTGATTTGCGGCTGTTGCAACAATCGATAGCTGGTTAACAAGTGCAACAGCAGCAGCAGCAGCAGCAGCGGCAGCAGCGGTTGTCCGGCTCACCTGTGTCTGTCGTTATCTCTGACCGGCTGTCAATTTTTCACCTGCACTGCGCTGATTGTTGCCAGCGAGTGAGAAATTATGCCAAAATCAAATGCTAGTAGTTGCAGCTGGGAAAGTGCCGAGCTGAATTGGATTTTTTATTATTAATCTCCCCCTCTCCTCCTCCCTGCCCCTGTCCAGTTGAGCTTGCCGCATAACTCTGCCGCCTTATCGGGCGCAGCGATTAGAAAGCGCTCAGAAATCTTGTTCATGTTTCACATTGACAGCAACTTGTTTACCGTTTTTTTCCCTCTCTTCTTCTTCTGCTTCTTCTCTCTTTTGGAAAATGTTTAAACAATGCAGCAACTTTTGGCATTTACATGAGAATTGTCAGCGCAAAGATGTTGTTAACAACAACAACAAAAAATCTGAACACAATATGAACATAGAATCCAGTCGCAGCAGCAACTTATTGAGTCTAATTAATTTGCAGCAAACTGCATGGGCAACTTTCTATGCCCTACCTTAGTCCAGGGCCTATCACATTTAACGAGCTGTTCGTGCGAGCTGTTAGTCTTCGTTATGGATTTAAAAATGACCATGGAGGATGCACATATAATCATTTGTGTGTCTTACTGCATTTATAAGTACATAAATAAATAATTATGGAGGACAGTTAATAAAAATGTCAGACATTTCTTGCTACACTCGCTGAGCTATAAATGATCCACTACAACATTTGACCGTGATAGTCCTACAAGCAATGTGACCATGGAGGACATTCAATCATAATTTATATTTTAGGCAACGCTTAAGACAAAGTTTTAACCCACAGTACAATTTCTGTTGGCTTCTGTCAGTTATGAAGCTATGCTTAAAGTGACCATGGAGGACGGCAGAGTACAAAGTAACACTAACTGCAGTAAATGCTATGCATATATATAGTCATGTATTTAAATATTAAATCTTATTAGATTTGCCACAAAGTAGCACAATGTTACCATGGAGGACAGAAAATTTAGAAAATATCGCTAATTACAGTACTATGCCTATACACTATGGTAGATATATATTTACTATGAATTTAGTTTTTAACTCTTATTAGATTTGCCACAGATTTGCAATGTGACCATGGAGGACATAAGTATATGTGTAACTTAGCTTGGACTGACTCAGTTACTCTGCTGCCATTTTAGGTTTTTTTAGTCTATTAAAATGTAACCAATATTTTGGCTAAAGTAACCATGGAGGACATGAGTATATGAGTTACTTAACCAAAATTAAATCATTTAATTTGCTGCCACCTTTTGATCTCTTTAGTTGGAAATAATATAAACAATATTTTAGCTAAAGTAATTTATATATTAAGTAATATTTTGGCTAAAGTAATATATATTCTGTATTAATATTCTGGGTAAAGTAACCATGGTGGATAAATGTATTACTTAACCACATTTAAATCAGATACTGCTGTTTTCTTTAATTGGATATAATACAAACAATACTTTGGCTAAAGATGCTCAATTTAGGAGTACCCAAAAACACATGAATTGGCATTAAACATACCTTCTTGGGCTCTTCAGCTAGGGTATTGGCCCAGCTGCTTGTCCAATTAATGCCGCTTGTTTCTCTTAACGGTAGATGCATGTTTGTGCTTAAACAATGCACCAGCAGCAGCCGCATCTGAGAAACTAACAACAAATTTGTTTAGTCTGAAAATCTATGCAAAGCAATTTGAATGGCCGAAACGAGCAGCGAGCATTCAGCTAATGCCTCAGTTATGTAAATTAGAAAAAATTCTTCTTTTGCCCAGTTGCCAGCTGCCAGTTGATTGGCTTGGTCAAAACCGGGGAGGGGGGTGGGGGGGTGTGGGTTACCCCGGGTCCAGTCTCTTTTGCTCTTTTGCCTAATTGCTGTCTCTTTCGCTCTTTTTTTTTATTTTCAGTCCAAAATTTACATACATTAAAAGCGCGCATTGTGTTTGCAGCAGAAGCTACCGTCGATGAAAAGTGAGCGTGGAAAACGGAAACCAAAGAAAAAAAAATAGAAAGAAAATTCAACTTAATTGGCCGCAGATCGGATACCCTTACAGACTTAAAGACCAGGTACGTTAAAATGTTATA